AAAAAAAAACTGGAGATGCGTGGTCTGTATTTCTCGTATTCTGTGATACATATCGCCTGCTACTAAGTGATCAAATGCTCAATTTAGTGAACCTCCATGAACCAGGACATTAATTGTTCTAGCTTATCATGTGAAAAGATTTTATTAGACTAGATACGTATTTCAGGTCTCCGTTCAAGTTGTGTACATCGACTTCTCCATTTGGTCTTCAGTGTTGGATGGTGTGGACGGCATCAAACAGAACAAAATGTATTTCTGTCTTCTTCTTTGGGAAATTTTCTCGTGCGCTTGAATAGAACAACTTTCAAAAAGAAAACCAAATTATTGAACATATTTTTTCTGGAAGTAGACATAGTGCGATACACTGTTTTCTTGCAAGTAAAGCTAAGCCAGTATAATCCGCTCTATCTTGATCAGTAGAGGGAGGAGGTACGTACCAGAAGCAGTAAGTACGATTACAGACGAAAAAGGGAAAAACAAGTGCGTACGTAGCTGAGGGATCTGATACTCATTTAGTTCTAGGATCTTCGACATTGTCATCTTCAATGCCGGAACCATGTTTCCGGAAAAGTCCACAACTACTGACGGGATTGAAACATGTCTGCAGGTGAATCAAATATTAGATTTAGATAGAAAAGTTGTCACCGCAGACATTGCCATTCTATTCTCAGGTGAATGTTCTCGGACACATGTATCTAGCCGACGCATTACTGAAGAACCGTCCTCCCATGCATAACATCCACTTCGTATGTGTCTCTTCAACGCTATTCAAGTGAGTCACCTCATGCACTCGTTTGTTGACGACGATTTCACATTCACATGCAGCGTGGAATAAACAATTAGTTCTGCACATTGCAAATAACAATTACCGCTGCAGGCTCTGCGGAACTTCGTGGCCACGCTGGAAATTGCCGAAGAACGCCTCCGCTTGGGCGGCTTTCTTCGCACCGAAATCAAAGTCGGGTTGGCGAGCATATGCCCTCAGCAAATTTGCTATCACCCTTTTGGCGTCCCAGCTAAATCGTGTCGAAGGAGTCACCGCAGTCGCTGTGAATCCTGGAAATGCTGTAACAAATGTCTCAAAGAATCTGCCGCAACG